AAATTTCGCACAGTGTATGTTCAAAAGTCGAAGAAAGAAATGAAAAAAAATTTGCAGTCAACAATAACAAAAAGGGGAAAGCTGCCACATTTAAATTTATGTTGATGTTGCACATCCAAATCGGGCGTTACTTTCTGTGGCGACTGTACTTTTAACTTTTAATAATAAGAGCCATAAACCAGATTCCAGTTGGATGTAAACTGTGATCCTGAACCAAACTAAATCAAACGTTCTCGTCACTAGCGCTAGTATCCAAGTAACTAAACTTTGAGCCTGCTATTTTCGAGATCATGGATTGCTGCAAACATTGGTTGTAGAATAATATATTTTCATTTTCGACATTTACCGTTATTTCAAGAATATTCCATACAATAATCCCAAAGTGATGTTTGATCCTTGAGAATGAAATGCAAGTGGCAAAGAATATTTAAATTTTCGAAATTTCATAACATTTCTAATTCGCAAAAAATTACACTTCTCGCAGTGTTTTTATAGCTCCGCCGAAAGTTTTGAAAAAGTTATCATTAACAACTACGTAACTTGACCGAAAAAATATTTTTTCGGGGGTAAATTTTGATTCTTACATTTAACGTTCATAATTACTATATCAAGACGAGAGTGACTTGTGTAATGCACGCTATTCGAAACTATCATCAAAAAGTTGTCACGTATCGGTCATAAATTTTCTCACAGTATTCCAAACTTTGATATATTACATGTAGCGGTAGTATTAACACTTGAAACAATAACGATAAACAAAAAAACAAGTCTCATGAAGATCCTCAACGCCATCTCCTTCAAGTACTTGGTGTGTTCAGAGTCTGGGGATGCTTCCGAGTGTTATTACATGTACAACGAACTTTTATAAATTAAATTCGTAAAAAACAATTACACTCTATAACAAAAATATAATACACTTCGTTTGGTGTTAAAATGACTACGAAAGATTAAAATAAATTTATCAACTTGACGGAACGATATCAATTCTCGCATCATGTTAGCTTTAGATTAAGGGTCGGATGAGGTCTGATTTATCGCGTTCGGAGCACCCATACTAGAAATCAAGAATTTATTCGTGTCATTCACACTCAAGATGAATGTTTTAAATTTCGCCGCTCTACAAAAACTCTTCATCAGTCATGTCAATACACACTTATATTTTCCTTTGGTGATATAAGTGGTTTTCAAAGTGCAAAGTTTCATGTATTAACTCAGAACTCAACTAGCATACAAGGCCAATGCTGTCCCTATTTTAATAAAAATTTGTATTGTTAGATAACTCAATATTTGCTTATTCAGGCGATTCATATACCTTTAAGTAGAACTTAAAAGAACGATTATAACCGTCAATACCATAACAAATACAAAAGTATTTCTTTGTAGTTCCCATTACGGTGTTCGCTTGACTTTTTATCCCTATACGAAAAAGAATATAACGATAACGATATACTTCCAAAAAAAATAAAGACTAGTTGCTCTCTTGATTAAAAGAAAATGGTGATTACTTTGAAAATTTTATTAATTTAAGAGTATAAAACATTAGCGTTAGAAATCCTGATGGTAATCATGGAATCGATATTAACTGTGGTTTGATTACTTTTTATCAAACCTAAAATATAAAAAATGCGATAATGTTATTTTTGTTATTTTCTTGATCCTAGCAATTATATATTATCGTATGTTTGTGAAGTTGTCATCGTTAACTATAATACACATTAGTGTACTATTAATAATGTTATATTCATCACCATTCATTTGTAATTACATTTTTGATAATCGTAACGGTGACTTTTACGTACTACCGCTACGTTCAATGAGTATTGTAACTTTCTGCAGTAATTTCATTTTTAGACGCGTAACATTCACCAAATCATGAATTAGATTTCATCTTTGAGTTCTGTGTTAACGCTATCCATTGGTGTATTAAAAGACGAATAAATCAGACATGTGCATAATACATGTACATAGATTTCCATTTGTATTAACATTAAGAGTAAAATCGTACAATTCTAGTGTTAATGTTATCGTAACGCTTATGACTTCTATTTGTAGTAATAAAAGACACTTCTTTTAATACGTTAAATGTATGTTATAGACGTAACGTGCATGAAATTCTTGCGTGTAGTATGAGTAATGTTTACATAGCTAGAAGTTTTATGAAGATATAGTTTTTTATACGTACTATCGAGTATTTATCTGTAGCTGGGGTCATAATATTTAACACCATTCTAACTGAACTTTAGAGCAGTCAGGATCTATTTAAAAACATTTATATTAGAAAACAAAATGCATTATGCTTACACTTTAGAATTTGTTCATTCTTACCTCGTTTACATATTCCAATGTAATAGCTTTGGATTACATAATGATTTCAACACAACATTACCTTCTTTAGATCGTCTGAATTTGTTTCTTCATGATCCCATTGGTTCAATGGTCCGTCCGTCCTGCCAGGTTGCTTTATAAATTATCGTAAACCCTCCTTCTGCAAGATATTCAAAGTTATAAATTTTACAAAAGGAATCCGTTCGATCTATTTTCTTTTATTAGACTATAACATCTTTATTTTCTCTAGACTGGTGATGTTATTGGTTTCTTTACCTTGTTGGGATTGTTAATCTTTGGTATAATTATATTTTTTAAGCTTCTAATCGAACTTGATTTTTGTAAAGCTTTTAACATCCCTACTCTAGACCATTCAGCTTTATAAAGCTGATAGTGACAGAACATTTATAGTTTATCAAAGGTAGCTAGTATTATTCTACTTGAAAGCGCTGTTAAACCGCTATATTTCTTTTAATGGCTATTCATCTTGAACGATTTATCGAAAAGAAATTTCTACGACAAAGCTTGATGGAATTATCATAAAGGAATTACATTCAACAGAGATATAAAACTCGCCGCTGAAAAATACGACTCATGCTCACTGTCACTCCAAATTTTGTGATCTACATGCCCGATTCAGCATAATGGATTGTGCTCAGTAATAGAACATTTTATTATTCCCTCTTTGTACTACTTCATACAAATTTCATCCAATTTTATGATTTAAAAAAAATATATTATATATATATATATATATATATAAACATGCTTGCAAGACTAGGGCAAGAATAATTATTGTAACAAGGTAATGATATTTTATTATTCACGTCAATTAATATCGATATGCAGATAGAACATGAAAAATTTGTGTAATGATCTATCGAACACAACGATCTTCATTTCATTATTTATCGTTATTATATTCTTACATTTTAAATATTGGGAAGTTGTGTTTAGCGGAAGATGGATTGTTGAAAAATTGGATTTGTCAGGAAGATGGATTGTCGAGAAGTTGGGTTTGTTGGAAAGTTGGATTATCGAGATGTTAGGTTGTCGGAATGTTGGGTTGTTGAGAAGATGGGTGTCGGGAAGTTGGGGTGACCATTATAAACATGCATCAGTTACAAAATTTGGGGACATTCTGTTGATTGGTAGTGTAATACCGTTGGACCGTTTAGGGGTTTGCTTGACGGGTAACCGGGAGACTGTCCGA